TTTGTTCCCTTCATCTCATGAAACCTGGCTCAGGCTTTTTGCATGTAAGCCTATGGAGTGTGTGGTTGTACAGAAGAGCCTGCTTTTTGGTTGTTTGTCTTTTGCTTTTTTTTTTAACCTCTTCTCACAGTAGAAAGCCGTTGTGTCTATTAAAACAGTGGAAAAATTGACAGGCTAATTGTTGCTGCTAAATGCAATAAAGTAGTACTTTGGGCTCTCAGGCATGTTTTATGACCAATATGGCAATTACTGAATAAAATCCCATGCCCCAGAATGTTTATTTGTGTAAACAACTTATGGTTATTTATTCATATTTTATGAATATTTTTTTCAAAATTGTATTAACCATCCCTTGTGGTAGAAAATACAGTTGGTTGGGGGGGAAAAAAAAAGATATGCCACATACTAAATGGAAGGATCCATTGAGAATCTAGTCCTGAATGTGTTTAAGCCCTGTTTTATTCAGCATGATTAGCTGTGTTACAAGCCACCATTATGTTCTGGCAAGCTCTGTCTGATTTGAAGCAGTCCTCACTTTCCTCACAATAACACTTCACTTGCTGGTCTCTTTCCATGCTGGCTGGCTGGATCATTTAAAACCTCTCACATAAGTTTAGACCAGGGTTCAACCAAGATGTTTTCCAGCTGGTGCTGGTGGCATCTGATATCTTTTCTTCGTGATTGAGTCATGTAAGAGCTGAAAACAAGGGGAGAAACAGAAGTAGATCTTGGACCTCAGCATGGATGCTCTACAAATGGCTGCATTTGTTGTTCTTTAAATCTCATGGTCTTTAAAATTCAGTTCAAGCTTAAAAAAAAAAAAAGAAAAAAAAACTGTTTATTGTCAAAATCAGGCAGTAGGTAGTCAAATAGTAGAGCAAATACTGCTACCTGTCTGTGAAACAAGAATCCACATCATGGACAGCTCTGCTAACATAGTAAATGAAATTATTTCAGGGTAGTTATGTGCACGTCTGGTTTTACATAAGGTTACATGATTGCATTATTTGTGGTCATTCAAAATCCTTGGATGCTCTCTTACAAGAGTATGGTGTTGCATGCAGCTGGAAGATGATCAAAGTGCTTTGCTAATTATATTCTGCCTAAGTACATTCCCTGAAGTTAAAGCTTGGGTAAAATTTTGTTTTCTTTTTCACTTTTTCTTCCTGAATCTGTATAATGCAGCTTAAAAAAAAAAAATTTAGTAACAAAAGTGATCACAGTCCCTACTTAAAATCTTACCTTCAGTGTTTGGAAGATCATTTTCTTTATGGGCAAGGCATGGACCAGCTGAGTGACTTCAGCCCAAACCAAATTTTGGTTTGAAATTTCTCAAAGTTGAGATTTGCTTGGTTTTTGAATTTAGACTGAACTGGCTCTAACAGAGCATTGTCTTGATCTGCTTCAGAAGGGCAGATTATATGCACTAGGGTGAGGAGTGTTTATGTCCCTGTAAAAGTACACTTTCAGCACTATATAAATAGCACGTTTACAATGCTGCATTTCCTCAGCTCACATGTGAAGTTCCTTCTCAGTAACTTATAATCACGTGGTGTGCCTTCTCTTCCTATTCTTTTTTTTTTTAAATTTTGTTTTGTTTTAAGCTGTGTCCTTGACTCTTGAAGGCACACATCCTGGATTTTAATGCTATCTCACCACATCACATTTTTAAAGGCTTTGTTCCCTTTGCCAAACTAGCCAAGTCGCCTTGCTTAACCTAGCAGGATATGTCAGGCAGGGCTGTGTATGGTGCTGTAAGCCAGAGCCTGGTGCTACACAAAGGATAATGCATGCCCAGCAGAACCCTAGGCACCGAGCTGCCTGGTGGTGGTCACAGAGCCACGGTATGTGCAAGGCATCTGGTCATGTCAGCTGCCCTTCAGCAGTGCACCATGGTGAGTTTGGGGCTTCTAGGCATGTTAAATAACTTGCAAAAGTTTGGCATAAATAAGGGGTTGGCTCAGATGAGGTGCATTCTCTTAGAGACCAAGAAAAGTGCTGATGCTACAGCTCCCAGTGCTGGAGCTCCTGTACGGAGTTGTGTACCAAGTTCTGGTCAAGAATGACCATGGTACTGAAGCAGTGTATGCTGAGAAACGCTGAAGAGGGATCAAGTTGAAGATGACCTGTAGGAGTTCTTAGGTTTCAAAAGGGAAGGAGAAAAAGAGAGCCCAAACCTCCAGCCACTTTCCTCTTAATGTCGTGATTGTTTTCAATCTGTTTTTCTCAGTAAAATTGTTTACTTTTTTCCCTAGGACTCCAGTTGCATAACCACATACTTCCTTAGAGTCTTTGCATGGCAATTTCATGTCTAATTAAAGAATTCACATAAACCCTGCTTTTTTTTTTTTACTCTGTAAGAGATTAAAATGGCCATAGATTTTAGTACACTATGCAAGTTTGTCTGCACGTGGTGAAATGTGTACACACTGACTGAAGCCCCACTTGCCCATTAGGTTGTCACCCCTGATGTAATGTGGGTATGTTCTGTGGTACTGCTCCTGTGGCTCCGTGTAAATAAGTCAGGAGAAGATGCTATCCCTTCGGTTTGGGGCAGCACCAGCTGGACTGCTCTGTGAGATAGGCTGCGGCAAGGAGGGAGCAGCGGGCTGTTGGATGGGTGGGTGTCAGGTGAGAGCTCAGAAGGGCCTCGTGTCCGTGCAGCCCCGGGCCTCGACACAAGGCCACAGGTAGCTGGAAGGGAGAGCACTGCTGGTGTCAGACGGCGGTAGGGAATCAGTACTGCCCGTACAGTCGCCTGTGTGTATTGCAGGAGGGGTGCGCCATCCCGCAGCCCACGCTGTGCTCCTCTGGGTTCTCTTGAACTGGGCACGGCAGCAGCAGCCCTGCGCTGCAGCGAGCTGCGAGCGCTCATCCGGCACGACGCGTGCCCAGCCTGTGCGCTACCTCACCAGCTCCATCCCGGTGTGTGGTCGTAGTATGAGTTACGATAGCAGTAGAATTCATTTCAACTGCGGCTGAGAACGGGGGGAGGTTCTGCTTTAACACGCGATCCTATGGGGGCGGTGTCTCCGCCCGCCGCGGGTTGTGTGGCAGAGCCGAGGTTGGCAGACCCGCCTCGGGCACCGCGGGGAGCGGTGGTGGTGATCGCTTCTGTGCTGCTCCGGGCGGCCTCGCGGCGCTGCGCAACCGGGCCGACAGCGGGAGCGGGCGCGCTGCGCCCCGTACAGCGGCCACGCGCAGGGCTGCGGTTAATGGCCAACCTTATCGTTCAGGCCGATTTGGAGCAACCAAAGCCCGCCGTCCGCCCCCGTCTTTGTCTGAGCCAGAGGTTGTGACACCTCAGCTCGTTGCTGCCTTACGGGACGCTAATTGCAAATGAGAGTGGTGCCGAGGTGCGGTGCTGCCGACAGCCGTGCGGCTGCAGGGGCGCGACAGCCCCGCGGTAGAGCTGCCTCCCGCTCCCCCGGGCTGGGTCCGCGCAGCGGCGGGCACGGTGGCGGCCGGGGACCGGAGGCTCCCGCGGCGCCTTTAAGGGCGCGGGGGGCGCGCGCGGGGCAGCGGGTGCGCGCGGCCGGCTGGCAGCGGCATTGTTCCCTGACGTCACTGGCAGGCCGCGCGGCGGCGGCGGCTCTCCAAGTTGCCTTTGTTATTCGGCGCTCCCCGGCTGACACCGCGGCCGCACGCAAAACGCGGAGCCGGAGCCGCGCGGAGCGGCAGGAGGGCGGGCGGGGGGCGCCCCGGGGACGGGAGCCGCGGGCTGCGGCGGAGCTCGGCCCGGGCGGGCGCCAGCGAGATAGGAATAGGGAGAGGGAGGGAAGAAATAGAATCTCCCTCCCCTCGTTCTGTGACTCCTTCCCCTCCGCCGGCAGCGAGGCGGTGCGGGGCCGCTGCTTCGCTTGCGTCTCCTAATTGCGGAACGTGGGAGCCCCGCTGGAGCGGGGTGGGTGTGCGGGGCGCACCAACGGCCGTCGGAAGCGCAGAACGTCCCTGCGAGCGGGAGTCAGTGGGGGGAGCAGCCGGGGGAGCGCAGATCAGCCGATCGGCGCCCGTCAGCCGAGGCCAGCGCCCCGCCGCCGACTCGCTGGGAATCGCGCTGGGTTTCCTCGGGAGCAGAAAAAAACCACCCACCCGGCCCCACACCCGCCCCATTGTCGGCGCCCCGGGCCGCCCGCCCCCCCCGCCGTCGGGGCCGCTCCCCCGGCCCGCCCCGCCGCCCCCGCCTGCTCTGGGCCGCCCCCTCCCCCAGGGGCGAGCACCCCCCGGCCGTGGCTCGCTCCTACCTGGGTGGCGGCGGGGCCGGGGCCGAGGTGAACCCCTCGGGACGGCGGCCGCCCCCGACCGCCTGCCCGCGGGTCCCCCCGGCCCCGCAACGAGCCGCGGCACTCGGAGGCACCACGCGCTCCGGAGCGCTCTCGTTGCGGGGTGGTTTCCCCTTATTTAATAACAACAATTCAGCAGGGAGGATATTTGCCTGCTCTCAGTTTCCAGAGTGGAAGGGTTTTCTCTCTTTTTTTTTTTTTTTTTTTTATCCAATTTGCGTGCGTGCGTGCCATTCAGGAAGGCTTAAACGCGACTCCCCGCCTTAAACCCGCTGTAAGACAATATTTGTGTTTTAACTCGGCTCTCAGCTTAACTCCGGGTGCTCGGCGGGTGGGGGCAGAGGGGAAGGGAGAGGGCGAGGGAAGAGCGTCCCCGCAGGAGGGAGGCAGCTCCCTTTCAGATAGGAATCTGGGACAGATTTTGCCAGCAGCCACAAAGCATGGCCCTTTGGTAATAGAATAGCCAATGTAATTTGACACTTCAACTTGCTGTGCTCTCTGCTAGTTGATTCACTTACTCACCCACTAACATTGAGCTCCTTTTCACTGTCTGTGGGC